TGACGAGCAAAGGGCTGGTTGGTTGCCAAAGGGGCAGCCCTGTGAATGTGCCTGGCATCCTGATTTTGTGCGACGTAACGCAACGCAGGACGCAGCGTGGCAATTAGACAAAACAGCCGCAGGGGTAGCAACTGGCAATATGCTGCTTGGAAGATATATATACCATAAATAGGTAAGGACATGGATAAGGTCATGACAGCAAGAACAGCTCAATAAGTGTTGAGCTATTCAAATGGGGCAGCAAAGCAAGTAAAGGTTATTACAGAAAAGGTAGCATCTGGTTTCAACTCCCTCTCAACTATTACTTATACTAAGAGTATATTTATAAGTCGCTAATCATAATAAAAGAAGTATAATTATTCACTAATACCTTTAAAACACCAAGGACTTAGATTTACGGCGAACTAGTCGAGTAGAAATGCTCGAGCTTCTGGAGTATCGCATTTAATACTCAGAACTTTATTCTGTCGACTTATAAATGCTTTGAGTCTTGCCGCTTTTTGTACATGCCAAGAAATATTAGCGAGTATACTAAGCTAAAGGATATACATTATATATATTTACACATTCTTGCATGTGCTAGTTGGCTTCCGCTGATGCTCTCACGCATTTTCCACCAACTGGAGGGAATTTCTTTAATCAGTAAGGAAAACGCGAATTTCAAATGCTTTGCATAAGTGCCTAATATCGATGGGATTCAAAAGTTACTTATATCCTACAACTTGAGAATGTAAAGAATATAATATTCACATTGTGGGTGAATGTTGTGGATGCCCAGAAATAATACAGACGTTTGACTCCTTGAACGTGTATTTGCTAGACAATTGGATGCTCAACTGTTCATAATGACTGAACCCATGACATGGCTAAAAAATACAGCCTCCAAATATATATTACACCAGCTTTTGCTTCACGTAATAGCAAAAATGCCAAAATAGAGCCAAAGCACAGCGGGGCTCAAGTCATTGACAGGAATTAAAAAGTTGACAGCAGCTGCCACGTGTGTGCGTGTGTACGAGTGGGTGTGTGTGTGTGTGTGTGTGTGTACCGCAGTCTATAGTAAATTATGCCACAAGTGCGTGACACAAACCAGAGGCGGACTGCGGCTTTTCCCTCTATGCGGGCGGAGAAGGTCTAGTGGCACCTAAAGCGGGGCCAAGGCAAACGCAAAGGCTGGCTGGTGCCTTTATTGTCTGCAGCTGTTGGTGGGTGGCTGCTTTGGAGGCTGCGCCTAAAATGCTGCAACACAATTCACAGCACGTAGCGTAATTTTGCCATGAAGCAGTTGCCGTCGCAGTGGCAGTGGCAGTTTCAGCAGCAGCAGCAGTAGTCGCGGCAGCGGACTCCACGCCAGGATTCACTTTAATGCGCATCAACATCGACAGTTAAATTAACTGAGGCGCCCACGTGTGGCACGCAGCGCTGAGCGCTGAGCGCTGAGGCGTGGCTGTAGCGGCACGTACGTACAGCCTGCATGGGCACGCCCACTTCAGTTAGGCGCCGAGCACTGCAATCAGGCGCTGATTGACAGACAGACAGACAGACCGAAAGTGAAATGGCGCACACAGCGTGAGAACGAGCGAGGGAGAGAATTATGTTAGATAGAGCTGCCAGACACCTGGACGTATTGACGCATAGTGTTGCCCGTTGTCAAAAGCGACCCCAAATTAGGGGCTTACGGGAAGGCAGAGTGGCGGGGCCGCTGGGGCTGGGGCAGGGGTTGGCTTGCTACATGCAACTAAAGCGTTCGGTTCTTGGAGTAGCTGCGGTCAAAGTTGCGCTACGCTGATTTATTTAACATTTAAATTGCACGCAACTTTTGTAAAGTTCAAGGTGTTTGTGCGTGTGTGTGTGTGTGTGTGTGTATGTGTGTGTTTGGGTGTGCCACATAATGCTGCTTGCCACAAGCGCACATAATGTGCCACAGCGAGTGCATTTTGCACGCCGCGCAGCAGGTGAGCAGTTTTTGCTTGAGTTTATTTGTTTTTGACTGTGTGTGTGTGTGTGTGTGTGTGTCCTTTGTGCTGCTGGGCCATAAACAACATTTTCACGGACACCCGAAACGGCGACGTGCGTCGCGACATGTTTGTGGCTGGCACGCGTGCCAACGACAACGAATGTAGCAACACTACCAAGCAAGAAAAACAACAACAACAACAACAACAACAACAACAACAAGAACCACAGCAACGCTCAGCTCATTGCACGTTTTGTCGCCAGGTTTTAATACCCTGTACTCATTGAAAACTGTCAAATGAGGGTAGTCTCTTGCATCGCTGATCACGAAAAGTATCAACAATCAACTTAATCTTACCTTGTGCATTTGTCTGTTTGTGCGTATTTCGATCAGATTAAAATCGGAGTTTATTGATCACTAGCTCCGAAATCGATAATAATCGACGAATAAGACGCCAAATGTTTTTATCATATGCATAAGGTTTGAAATATGGGCAGGTAAAATTTATCGATTATCGATACTAAGCCCCGAAATCGATAAGTCATTTTTAATGCAGGTTCTAGGCTCATCACACAGATTAAGAATATTTTGATCGGTGACTAAAATCGATTAAGTCAATTTTCAAATTGTATGTAGGCTCTCATGTAGCTTCAACATCTGTACGTATACATTCGGATTATCGATAACATGCTTAGACATCGATAATCGATATAGGTAAGACCCAAAATTCTACATGAAGGTATTTGAGTAACACATTTTAAGAGGAATTTTTATCCGCAGAACACTTAACGTGGCGTGAAATGTAAGTCGAAATGGGAATATTTGATACTGAAACTCGTCGCTGCGTACAGGATATCTTTTAGTCGCGCCCTCTTACAGATGTCTCGTCTGCACTACCCTTTTTTTTATGAGCATTTTTAGCAAAAAACTTTTGTTTCGCTCTTAAATTTCATTCCAGTTGCCAGTTGCGTTGCCCGGGGCCCAATGCGAAGGCAAATCTTAAAAAAAAAGTTGCGGCAATAAAAAAAAAGAACACGTCGGAAGAGGACTAAATCAAGGGTGTTCAAGGGTGTTCAACTGGATAAGGTAACAACAATATTGTGAAAGCATTGCGAATGTAATCAAATTTTGTTTGGACCATGGCCATAACTGAGCACAACAACAAAAATAGCAACAACAACAACAACAACAACAACAAATCCAAGCTTAATGCCTGCAGGGCAGGACTTTACTGAATCGGTGAAATCCTCGTGCATGCTCGGTGCTCAGTCAGCTAATCCGTAAATTGCAGCCATAACAAAAGGACATGTGCCCGCGTATGGGGAAACCCTTCAAAAATTTATAGCGATAGTTTATAATTGAGTGCCTCGTTCGTTGAATTGAATGCACAATAGTTGATTGGCCCAAAATTGGGCTTCAATGGAGCGATTGTGAAAGCCCTTAGCTGCTGGCTGACTGACTGATTGACTAACAATTCTACCTATCTATGTGATTTGATATGGTTTCGCAGACATGTTAGCAAAGTAGCTGAACTCGTAATTACGAAGTTTGGCAAAAGAAAAAAAATAAAAACAATCCGATTCTTTCTATGGTGCTTATGATATAGTGTGTGCTTCAATATATATAGGGAATATGTTTAAGCTCGTGAATGCGAAGTTTGCTCAATATTCGTTTATACAGGAACTAATTTTTGACAGCTCATTTCTTTGGCAGCTAATTTATATATTGGTCTGATCCAGCCCACTCTTTATAACCTGCCTGTGCAGACAGCAACTCATAAATTTAAAGGTAACGTATAAAATATCGCAACGCGATTTCAAGAGACTTCCTCATCGGCAGACTTTGCTTTCGATTCTAGGTGTGCACACCTTTCGTCCCTGCTTCGAGGCTTTAACATGTTGAGAATTACAAGCGTGGAGCAATGGATGGAGCAGCGAAAGGCCTTTTTTGTATTAGAAAAAACAACATTGACTACGAGCTGGCTGGCTTAATAATAGTAAAATTATAGTAAGTATATATATATATATGATATAAGGCGCTGTTGGGTTTAGTTTTAGCAAATGGTCTCGACAGTTCTGATAAGAATAAACGAATCGAATATTTGCTAATCGCTTATAAAATTAATATTCGAAATGATTAATATTCGAAATGAGTTGCAAGATTCAAGTATTTCTGCTGGTCCATGCCCATTCGGGTTCCAGTCTAAATGTGTGTATGTGTGTGTGTGTGAGTGTGTGTGTGCCTCTAGCTTGCTTATTAATTTGCCGTTCAAAGCTGAAAACTTCTTTGGCACTTTGCGAGGCGCAACAAAATGTGCGAAAACTCTTTGAAATTTTTTCCCTTTGTCTTGGGCTAAACACATTAGAGCCACGCCCACTCTGCCAACAGCACTCAGCCTTCGGGCCGCCCACAATTTAGCTGATGTGTGTGCACACGAGCGAGCAGCATCATGCTGAGTCGGGCAGGTATGTGTAAATGAGGGCGTGGCAATTAAACAACAACAGCCTCTTGCCCAGCCCTAGCCTAGTTGTTTTCGAGTGCGACACACACACACACACATTCACATCCGCACACACGCAGTCCAGAGGCTGCTCTTTTGGCAGCCGGCGCCAAAGTTTTTTAATTTAAAAACTTTTTGCAGACTCGCAAGACTTGCGATTTGTGATGGAGTCTGCTGACTATAGAGGGCGGGGAGGCCGAAAAGAGAAACAGACGACGCCTCCTCATGTACAAGTGTAAATATTGGCGGTAAACTGTGGACCACGCCCATTGCGAATCGTAGGGGCTCATCATCAGCAACTTGTCGTCGTCGCAATTCTATGTTGTTGTTGTTGTTGTTGTTGTTGTTGTTGTTGTTGCTACTGTCCTGTTCGTATCCTTGACCTGTGCAAAATGTTCTGACATTCGAAAGATTTGTGTTTGTGTTTTGTGACAGCGGCCAAAAGTTGCCAAAGCAGCTGCCAAACCTGTTGTTGTTGTTGCTGTTGTTGCTGTTGCATGCTGGCGTTTGTAGATTTGTATTGTAGTTGCATGGAAAACTTACCGCACTGCAGGAACTTCAAGTATATCCCATTCAACGGACGTGTAGAACTCGGACAGATCCACGCCCACTTCAACCACATTGGTGCCATTCAGTTCATCGATGTGACGCAGATCCACCTGCCATACAAACCAAAAAAAGAAAGGTACATAGCATGAGTAAGACACCACAGTTGGGATATGTGAGTGTGTGTGTGTGAGAGACACAGAGAGAGAGAGAGAGAGACATAGCTAAAGAGCGAGTGGGAGTGATTAGACAATTACAGGACTACACACGTTGACAGCGCACATAATTGAGCTGGAGAGGAAGATTGGATTGTCGTGGAGATAGAGCTGCCGCAAAAGTAGCAGCTAGAAAAAGAGCTCTAAGTGCACCGCACATTAAATACTCTATAGCTAGGGCAGAACTCGCAGTTGGAATCAACTCCCTGACTTTAGGTTCAGTTTGCAAATCAGCTTTGCACATCCTTCAAATCAATTCATTTCACAACTGGGTCTGTCATATTTGTTATTTTCACAAATTGAATTGAATTATTTTTGTTTTTATTTATACTTTTTAAATTTACATACGTACCGTATATGGTTAGAAAACTATTTATGTTATGTCTTTCGGGTTTTATCTCTCTAAAAAGATTTTGTTTTAAAAGCAAACTATTTTTTTTTCAAAAATTTGTTCAACTTCGGGCATTTGTATCTGTTCTTTCGTTCAGTAATTGCTTTGGTTTAAATGTTTTAGTAAATTAATAAATAATGAATAAAATAAATGAAATAATAATACCGTAGATGGACTGCAGTAAAACACTTAACATTAAATTCGAATAAGGCATTTGCAAATTTAGAAAACGGTTTTTTTTTTTTTTGTTACACATGTATTGTCAATGTGATAATACCCCATGTAAGTGTATTAAAACAGCAGCAACTCACTTGACAGAATAAGCTAACAGGAGCGCATTGCTCGACTAGAATTCGGAGTAAACTCAGCCAAGTTTGCACTTCAATTTCTGTTTCAGTTTTGCTTAGTTCGGCACGAGTGCAGCTGACAGAGCATGGACAGTAGTAGAGCACAAGGATGCAGGATGTGCACAGGACATCGCTGCAATTGGCATGCCAGGCACACAGCTGGCACAAGCTGATGCCTGAGGCAGCTGTTCATGTATTTTACGAATTCCCTTTGCTGGCCTTGGCAACTGCAGCTGAGACATAAGCTTTGCAGGTCGCCTCAAAAAGCAAATGCAATATCGTATTTTTAAGGATTCTGGCAGAGAATAATTGAACTCCAGTTTCTATAACAGGTTTGTTAAAATTCAAATTCAAAAATACCTGAGAATTCTTGAATTTTGCGTTTAAGGCAGGAACTAAAATCTGTTTAGCTTTACATAATAATTGTGGACATATTCGGGTCCGAGTTCCAGGCAAAACGTTTTTAACTGTTTTATTATATCTATAATTTGTTATCATAATGATTTTTTGGATCTGGGAATTTGGTAAGTGTATTTGAGCTTCGTCAACTGCATGCATTTCTTTTTCCATGCTCGGTGTTTGATGCGATTTTCGTATGGGATTTGATGGGGCGTCTGTCTGGCGTTTACGCCTCAATGAGCTTGCATAGAGAGATAAAGAGATGGAGAGCGCTAAGGTGAGGGACAGTGTGCTGGGGTTGTCTAGTCAGGGGCCTAGGCGGGATCGAGCGGTCGGTCGGTCGGCGGTTAGAGTGCTGCGTGGCCCATTCTTTTTGCGGAGGTGTGCGGTGGTGAGAAAAGCGTGAAATTTGAAAAGTGACGTTAATTCGATTTGGTGAGTGGCGATGGGAGTTTGAATTGAGTAGAGTTTAGTCAAGTTGAGTGGCGTACCTGATGGGCGGGGCGCCATAATGCCGTTTTGTGCAAAATCAAGTGTGAAAATTGAGCCTATGAGCACACACACACACACGCACACATTCACACGCACAAGAGACAGCTTACCATGGATAAAATGTACAAATAATTTGGTAGAAATTAATATGCAACACGTTTTTCAATTCAGAGCCGTAAAGAGGTGAAAAATAGCTTTCTAATCGATGACTGTTATCCAAGAGCAGTCGCTTTCAAAATATATACAAAATTATTTAAATCTCAACTTAATAGTTTTTATTTATTTTAGGTCAAAGTCCGCCGGTTGGTCCCACCATGCATAGTGGGCATGTTCTGCATTTCTAAACATAAAATTAGGCAATCGACGCTGCCTTTCAGCATGAGCGGGCAGCCAGAACAGCCTCATAATCAGACAGGATGTGCCTTGCCAGGTGCAACTGTTGCGAATGTTGCAGCCATAAGTAGTTGCTGCAACTGTGGCAGTAACTATGTGCAACTCTGTAACTGTAACAGAAACTGCCGAAACGGAAATTGTTATTTTAAGTGGTAGCGGAAATTTCACTATAAGGAAGTTACGATTTACTGAAATATTTCCGACACCGAAAGACGTGGGGCCAGACATGTACATGGAGGCTAGGTAAAAAGAGAGCGAGAGTGAGGCAAAGTCCAGCTGCGAACAGAATAGAGAGCGAGACAGAGAGCGAGAAAGAGAGAGAGAGAGAGAAAGCTTTGCCACTGGGGCACAGTTGACAGACAATTGTAAATGCTTTCAATTCACAATGAAGCCGACCAGCGGCCATTAAGCAGTCCAGTTTCTGCTTCCTGTTGCCCCATAGTCTGTGCCTTGCCCCCTGTTCTTGCCCCCGGCCACCACTTGCCTTTGTTGTCATTTGTGTTCGCTTCTGCTCCTGGAGAGTTTATAAATATTCTATGTTATGATACGGCGCTGTTGATGCCGCTTATTGCGGTTGATTTATGCGCACCACAAAGGATGCCCACAAAGGATCCCCGTCCACAAATAATGAGGCGTTGAAAGCGACAACAACATTACAACAATGACAACTTTACACACACAAACACACTCAGCGTACATAAAAAGCTGTAGATAGCCACGTTTTTGCGCCTGACGTGTCGTGGCATGTCAAATTCTGTTAGCGCCTTGCCTTTTAATGCCAAATGAATGTTGGCTTTTTAGCAAATTAAAGCCAGCTGCCAAGGTATGCAGACTTCATGTGTTTTCAATGTATATTCATTGACAATAATTGAACTAATAAGCGCATCAAATAGACAGAGATATCTAAGCACACAAATAAAAGAGAGACAGAGAGAGAGAGAGAGAGAGAGAGGGAAGAGTGCAAGAGAGCAAATTAGAGTGAGAGTATTAGCAGAGATAAACATTTAAGCTGGCCAACGCGCACCTGGCAGGTTAACACTTATAATCAAAGCATTATAGTCTGTAAGACCTATTAGAATTCATGAGAATCGCATAGTACGGTGGTAGTAAAAATATGAAATGTGAAACGGGAACTAAAATTCGTCTGAATTTAGTGTAAGACAATATACATGTACAGAACGAGAGGCAGAGAATAAAGAATTGAAAAAGAGTGAGAGAGAGAGAGAGAGAAGGGGAGAGCGAGCATAAAAAAGGGAAAGTGAGTGAGAGTATGCAATCTTAACGGAGCTTTAGCTTACAACACTTATGAGGGAGGAGCAATGCGATACGAGAACAAATCTCACATATAAACCATTTCAAATTCGAAAACTTTTGGTGTGGTAAATATAGCATTGTATTTGCTTATATTGGTACTTAGTCAACGTCTCTGAAATCGACGTTTCAATACAACACCGAACGGGCGGATAGTAAGTCGGATATGCTTAGATGGTTTCGGTTAGCCATCGAAAATTGATATATAGATATATATACCTTATGGCATGCCACTTAAATTAGTTGGTAACGCTCTCATAATAAACATTTAAAAATTGCAATACAAATTTTTGGGCAGGGTATGATTATAATGATGAAGCATATAAGAAAGTGCGCCTAATTGGAGGCATAATTAATCTTGGTTTGGTTTTTTTTTGATCGTTTCTTTGATTCTCATTCTTGAATTTTCTACGCTTTTCGCTCTGATTCTCGCGAAGCTTCCCGCTCTGCTTCTCACGAGGCTTCTCGCTGTGCTTTCTGCATTGCTATGAATTTGGCCCTTTGTTTTTTTTTTGTTTTTGCTCCCGTTTCGCTTTTGCACTTGCTTCTCACTTTGCTTATCGCTTTGCCACTTCCCTTGTTCATTTTTTTTGCTCTTGAATTTATTCCATAAGCATCTTGATTTGCTTCTCACTATGCTGGCTTGGATCCTGCTTCTCACTTTACTAGCTGCTTTATTTCTCTTTTCCTTCTCTTTTCGTTTCTCAGCTTTCAATTTGCTGTGCATTGCATTTGCCTTTATGCTTCCTTACCTTCTTTCTTTTGTTATATAAATCGGCATGCGCGCCTCGAAGTATGCTGCAAAATGTGGGCGCTATTGTGCGTGTGTGTGTGTGTGTGAGTCTGTCTGTTTGTGCCTGCCTTTGATTGACGGCGCGGTGCCTGTGCGTGAGCTATGCAAATTACACGCATTTCTGTGCACTGCAATACGAAACAACTTGCTGCAATTTGTTTCTTCTCAGTTGAGGGAATTGCATAACTGAGTTGCCAGCACACTAACACACACATACCTTTCCATATAGGCGGGCATCATTCAAGCTAAAACAAGATTTGATTAAAGCCGGGAGAACATTATGCCAGCGGCAACGACAGGCATTGCACATGCAGCACGACTTTTTATGGGCGCTAAAGCCCGTGCCACCGCATGTGGTTAACCGGGAGGCAAGGCTTTGGCTAAAGAGTTGCCAGCCGCAGTCGAGAGCTGGGGGCCATTTGTCGGCTCATTTGCGCTAAGCTGCAAAGTAGCAACAAGCAGTGAATGCCGCTCTAATGCCACTTCATTAGCTGGCAAGTCGCTGGCGGGTGGCAGCATTAAGTCGCCCCCATGCCACGTGCCCCAAGCCCAATGCCACATATACCATCCACCCTATGCCCAGGTCGCAAAAGGCTGCGGCTGCTGCTGCGGCTGCTGCAGTCACCTCGATTGCCACATGCTGCACGAGGACGACTTTACGAGGCCTCAACTGCCGCTGCTGTGTCTTTGTCATTGCCGGCAGGTGTCAAGCCACCTTATTGTCCTTTGGGTGCCTGGTGTCCCCTGCGTCCTGTTGTGTGTGTTGTCTGTATTAATGTGTATCTCTGTGTGTGTGCGTGTGTGTTAGTGTGTGAGTGTATGCTTTCAAATCGCCAGAGACAATTTTATGTAGCCTGTTTCTGTGTGGGGCCATAAAATGAGAGAACTTCCATGCCACAAGAACGAATTATGAGCGAATTTGGGTTTATGGCCACTAAACCAGCCACAGGACTCGATCCCGCTTGAAGAACTCATTCAGAGGAGCCCAATTTCTAGAAGTGCAAATTGCACAGAAAAACCAAAGTCATTCTCTATGAATTCAAATTGCAATTTGCATTCCGATAATTCATCCATCTCCATTCCCCCTTATAGCTCATATAACACAGGGGCTGACAAAGAATTTTCCCAAAATAAACATGGGTTCGCAAGTAGACATTTTAATCAACTTTAATGGATATCTATACATAGGACCGACTGATTGGTGATCAACGATGGGCTAACTCATTTCCAAATATCTCTATAAAATTTATCTTAAAACATGGACTTCAATTCTGTAAAGTTGTATATAAAGTTTTGAGCATAAAACATGCCACGGGCAAACCTAGGGAGTACCCGCTATACGTAAATATGTGTATGTATGCATGTATGTATGTGAGTATGTATGTATGTGAGTATGTATGTGTAAATGTATGTATGTATGCACGTTTGTGTGTACATATGTATGTGTGTTAGCGCGAGTGTGCATGTATGCATGCATGTATGAGTTTTTGCATGTAAGTATGTATGTCTGTATGTGTGTATGCGCGTGTGTGTGCATGTATGTATGTATGTATGTATGTGTGTACGTATGTATGTGGGTATATATTGACACATACTTGTACGTATGTATGGATATATGTGTATATGAGTGTATGAGTGTATAAGTATAAGTATGTTTGTATGCATGTGCGTGCATGTTTGTCCGTATTAATGTATGCTTGCTTGTAGTAATCTTTGTATGTATAAAAGAAAATTCGAAATATAAAAATTTGTATGTAAATATACATGTATATATGCATGTGTGTAAACGTGTATATGTGTTTATAATATGTATGCATTTATATATGTAAATTATAAATATATTTTGCATGTTTGTTTGCTCTCATGAATCCAAGTAAGTCCCATAGACTTACCTTCAATTGCACGAGGCGGTGATTTTATATTAGAGGAGGCGCCGGCTTTATTATTAGAAAAAACGGCAACTTGAGCAAAGCAGGAAGCATCGGCTTCAATATGGGAGACGATGGCAGCTTGAACAATGGAGAAGACGGTGGCTTTGACAATGGCTCCTCCATGCGGATATGGAGGAGGCAGTTGTTATGGCTTTGGCGGCTGCCGTTGAACTAACTGGTACGTATTATAAGCATAACTATGCCTTATTACGTTTAAAGTACAAGTAACAACTATTAAAGTCGTATGAATGCATGTTGTTTTGTATGTATTTGAACACATACACGAATGTTTGTGTTTAAATATTCGAGCATGTTGAGCTCAGCTTAAAATGATTACTGCTCTGTTTCACACTTTCCGCCAAATCTATTCCTCATCGGTATAAATGAGGTCCAATAATTTTATCCAAGAAAAATTAAAGGCATATTGATATAAAATTCTTGAAGCGGGCAAGGCAGGAAAATATCAGTTATTCGCTTATTTCTACAAGCATTTACTCATTGTGCTCTGTAGCTATTAAAAGTGAATACATTTTTGTGCAAATATTCTATTGGCCGCACAGATCATTATTATTTCAAATCTTCGACACCTCACTCTGACAACATAAGAGACATTCGCATAGTATAATTTTTGGATACCTCCTCTTGCTGCCAGCTGCTTTGGTCTTTACAGACTGTTCGAAGCTATTCAAGAATGCATATTTTTTGCAGTGCGTGGTTGTGGAAAGAAGAAGCGCAAGAACGATGCAGTTTTGTGGATGTATGTATGAAGGGAAGCTTGAAATTTTCTTACGGCAAACAGAGTATCTCATTATATTGCCAACTAGGGTGCACTTGTTTTTATTTCTTTTGTGTTGTGAGGGTTACCTGGAATCCATCGTAGGTCCAGCTGCCGAACTTCATGACGCATGTCTGCTCGTCAAAGGGAAAGTATTCGACATCAATTTCACAGGAGCTCTTGTAAATGGCCGGCGGTCGCCACTCGACGCGTCCTGTGTAGTTTAGTGTTGCCTTTGTGGCCAGGGTCACCTCAAAGTTGCCATCGGCACTGTTTGGGATTTGGATTTGATATTGGAATTAAGCATGCTTGTTAGCTTGATAAGAGCACTACTCACTTGTTGTAGAGCACAATGTCTGGCCGCCAGATGTGATCGGAGGGCACATGAAGCATTTCGACACCGCCATATTCCTTGGGCTCCCATTTGAGTTTGTAGTCGTACCAGGATTGTTCCACCCACAGATTGGTGGTCATTATTTGGTTCTTCAGATTGACATCAATCAGTTGCGATAGCTTCAGCTTGATGCGCACCGTTAGCGCATCCGTGACATTTACCACGGGACGCACCAGTTTATTGTAGTTGCTTAGCAGATCGTCGTAGAGTCGCTTCGCATCCGGATTCGCTGTGCTGCCTGAAAAATAATCAATACAAAATAAGGGGTCAGCCATCAATATAAGGCTACAACTGGTGCCTTTTATTCCTATCAACTATCAGCTGACACTGCGCGCTGTCCGTTCTTCGCCCTCCTCTCTGATTCTCATTTTGATTTCTATTTCCACTTCCATTTGCCATTTCCACTTGCAGCGCATAGTGCTGTGAATGCGCAATGCGGCAATTAATGTACCACACATTAAATTAATGATACGCTGATAATGGGATCACAATATGCTTGACCAGCTACGCAGCCCAACCCACGCCCCCATGCTCCCATGTCCACATCCAGAAGCAGCGCCATACCAGCACGGCGAGCTGCTAGCTCCCAGTGGAGTTTGCTAATTAGCTTTGCTTTTGGCTTATTCAGATGCGCGGCCCGGAAAAACCTCGAAATCTTTTAATTGATTTATTTTATATCGGACTGTCATAATACCCTTGCACTGGGCATAGCGAATATGTCACGATATGTTCAGAGCAGGATATTATTTTTGGTACCAGCAACTGATGATTGAATAATGTCAGTCAAAAATTTATTAGGAATTGTACTTAAAAAATAAGAGTATTTACAAATATCTAATTTACTTTAGTTGTGCCTTTCTTAAGGCAAAAAACTATAATCCTGATTAATGCAGAGAAAAATTTAGGAAAATCCAAGAATTTGGTACTAACTCAAGTTAAAACTTTCTGCAAATCCGACTACAGTTACAATTTCCTAGTCTGTGAACATAGTACTAGCTTTAAGTTAGAGTTTAAGAAAAAGCGTATCACGCTTTATTTGAGTAACAAAATGCGATTTGAGAACAAGCATGGATCATAATGTATCGCTTGTTCGCAAGTCGAATTTGTTTTATCAATAACGTTTCGCAAAACGGCTTTGAATCGATTTTCATTTTAGATAGACAAGAATGACTCTTAAGTCAAATTTGTTTGATGAAGAACAGTCGTAATTAAGCCTGAGCCATATATATTCGCTTGATCTATAGGATTTTTGTATTTTTACTTACTAAAAAATACTATGACGAACTCTTCAATATGTAAATATAACTAATTTGATAACTTGAAATGTTTTATGGTTAATTAATAGAGTTTTATCTTAGGGCGTGGCATTAGTTAGAAAAGGTTGTAATACAATGCAATTGATATGCTAGCGTATTTAGGTTTCGAGAATCTGTGTAAATCGTATTCTCCTGTTTGCTCTATGCCATCATTTGCTGTGCATTGTCTATTGGGTTGGCTAAGACTGGCAACTATCCTAATCCGCTTAGGCTTCAATACAACGATTTTTATTGCGCCCTATCTCCGTGACCACCCCACCTCCCGCACACCCCCGCACTCCGTCAATGAAATAATGATAAGCTGATTAGTGAACGCTTCGCCCAATGACATTGACGACAGCATAACGTCTGCCTTAGCTGGGATGCCAATCAACTGGGCCGCTTTGCATGCCCAGCTAGGCTAGGCGACTGATGGAGCTGATGGGCAGCAGGACAGCGGGGCAGTTGGCACGGTAAACGCTTGACTGAGCCTAGCCTGGACGCCTGGCTGACTGACGATGACGCTGGTGGTTGGCGCTTGATGGGCGCATTAACTCATTTCCTGCATCATTAAGGGGCACCTGCAATTTTCGCACATTTGCACCGCACACACACAGACATGGGGCATGGGCAGGATGTGCTGCTGTTGTTGCTGCTGTTGCTGCTGCTGCTGCTGCCACTGGCTGTTGGCAATTAGTGCCACTGGGCGTGGTCTTAATCAATTTAGCCAGCTTTGAACTTTGATATGTCACGCGCCGAGGCAGCTATCGTTGCCAAGTTGCGAGAAGATGAAAGTGCGGCCTTTGCCTTGGCATGAGTCTGTTAAAAATTAACTACCTATGCTTTTTGTGGCATGCTTTATTCCTCTCCGGGGCGACATTAATCTATTGTCAACTTTAAGACCGCAGCGCGGTTGCCAAAGCAACTTGGAATGCTTTTGGCCTATGCCTTGCCCATTCACTTGACAAGGTGTGTGTGCCATGTCTGTGTGTGTGCCATGTGTGTCTGTGTGTATATTTGTGGGTTAACGCTGTTGTCGCTCGCGTGGGAAACGTTAAGTTAAACGGACCTTTGCGGCGTCCGCTTTTGACTCCTGCGTTTTGGGCACACACGACGTATACCTTATATGCCACATTTCACATGTCGCTCGTGTATGTGTGTGTAACTGCCTGTGCCTGTGTTGGTGCTAATTGACTGCTTTCAATGCTCACATGTGGCCCGACAATCACATTAAGGTAACCAAAAAGCACATTTTATGATTGCTTTGCGTGTCGTACATTTGTCGTGCCATATTATTATGTACATGTGTACATACATTTACACATCGTATACACATGCATACATCTTGATGTTTTTTTTTGGCTCATTTTGCTGCTAGACAAAAGCCAGGCGAACAATTTAATTTCTTTGCCAGACACTGCCCAAATCCGATTACATTTCTGCTCTCAAATTCTAATTAGTTCGTTTTGGGCCAACTTCAATTCGTTGGTAGCTCTCTCATATTTTTCCGTTCATTGCTTGTTTAATATGATTGTACAGTAGGACTTCGATATAACGAGTCAAAATAGGTATTTCATAATCAATAGAATTCTTGTAATAATTTTATTTTCTTGAATATTAAATGCTTATGTTCATTTAAGGCAAGCCTGAGCGTAGATATTTTGTACACTTTTGCCATCAGCCTTTCATTTGACAGGGTTCTATATTTGTGAATCGAGCTATTTGATTAAGTACTATGCTAGACTCTGCCCGAGCCCGATTACATCTTTGATCTCAATTTGTAATTAGTTCGTATTCGAATTTTGGCCAAAGTTCTCTTGTTAGATTCGAGTGCTTAGTTTGGCTGACAGTTCTTGGCAACACCTAAATGCAATTTCGTTGTTTGCGCCTCTCAGATGACAGCAAACATGCTATATGCCACCGTTTCGGGCTTCCTGGCTGTAGACGAAGTTCTTCTCTCTTTCTCTTGCTCTCTATGTCTATCTAACTCTCGGGCATCACGCATTTGGGTCGCTGTGCAGCTTATATAATTATACGTTACGACTATTTGAAATTTATGTGTGTATGTGTGTGTGTGTGTGTGTTTGTGTGTAGGGGCAAAGTCGCATTAATTAATACACATTGCGTATACGCGCCATTGTACGCCGCCGTTTGCTCTGCAACTTTCTTGACGGCTACCATCGATTTTAATTAACAGCAGCTGGCACAGATCTAAAGCATGCACACCTTATGACCGAGTGAACTGGCAGGTTGGCCCTTTAGTCCATTTCCGAGCAATTGAAAATACTCGTTATTTAAATCGGTTTTTGCATTTCACTAACATAATCGAGTTCCAGGTCCTCCAACAGTAATTGGCATTCATTAAGGACGCCGGCAGCTGAAATTCTGATATTCTGAAACTCTGGAACGCAGTTATTTCAATTTGACTTGCCAAATTGTATTTTTTTTTCTGCTTTCCGTTTTTTTTTTTTTAATACCCTGTACACATTGTAAATGTACTCAAAAGGGTGAACTGGTTTTGCGCAAGTGCATGTAACAGTGTATGTATCTCCTAATCCCAGACTTTAAATTTCGTATAACACACGCACATTGAGCAAATATTTTTTTCTATCGCGCCACAATTTCCGTAGAGTCAATTTAAAAAACTAAATAAATTTAACATAACTGGGTGATCGGAAGAGCTAGAGACACATACAATATGTATGCAAGCGTATGCTAAGCATATATGTAACAATAATTAACTTCCTTTTCCCACTGAAAACTCAGGAGTTATTCAAGGATGTGTGGCCGAGGACAGAAGAAGAAGGATAGAAGCCGCAGGAAGTTTAAATATATGTTATGTGAGTGCAACTCGCCGCTGGGTACAGACTATCTCCTGGCCGGGCACTCCCGATGTGTGCACTCTTGTTTTTCTCCCTCTTTTCTTGTTCAGTGTCTCTGCTTCAGATGCCGCCTCTCCTTCTTGGCGAGTCGTGTGTTTACTCAACTGCAAGGCGAATGCAATTTTTGTGTAAACAACGCCATAAATTCCAATGGCTTAACAACAAAACGTTAGCGCGGGCAGACAAGGCCAACTTGCAGTCAACTTGCGTTTCACGAAGGGCAGGTGGATGCCAAGGGGCTGCACCTACAAGAGGGGGCGGAAACGGTGCCGGGGTTGGGTTACAGTCAGTGGAGTTGGTGCGGCTGATGGCAACATCGCAGCATCGTCAGCAGCCACTGTTAACGAGTTGTATTTTAAAATCCTCAGGGACTACGAGCGAGAGGGAGTGAGCGAGCTAAAGAGTCCAAATTTGGATTGCAGATTGCTTAAAACTATTTCTTTTTTTATGCTCAAAGCTCACTCATAAATATTATGATATTATGCTCTTTGCATTTAGCATACGAATCTCTTCTGAAAATTTGACTAGGATCGGCTATGCCTTGGGTAACTATTCTTTATGATTCTAATGAACTGCCCATTTGGGCTGCATATGTGTGTGTATGTGAAAATGCTGGAAAAACTCCCAGCCTGGCAATACTTTGCTAAAGAGTGGGAAATTATTGGGCTGGTATACCAATTACATATACGTATATATTAAGAAATTGTACAATTACATTCAATATGAGCTAAAGTGGGGGGAATTTGGGTATGGAATATAGATTGTGTCAGGCCTGTAAAACGAACTATTCGAACATGGCAGATACATGTTGGTTAAAATCTGACAGATTTTGCTTCAAATACAAATCTTTCGAGTGAGAAATAGTTCCAAAGCATTAATGACAGGGCCACAACTATCTATCTATAAAATGTTGAAAATATTAGACAAAGTTTGGAATCAACAGGTGAACCCAGTTAACGACCCGATCCTCATGGCAGGGAATCGCTCCGAAACTTGAAACGAGCAGATATTTATATTGTTTTTTATTGTTACTAAGCTTTAAAAAGACAATTCCCAGATGT